GACCAAATAATATTTCTGAGACAGGTGGAAAAGCTGACAAAATGGATCTGACTGCCTGCACCCCATGGCACCTAGAAAGGATTCATCCTGAAACAAGAGTGACGCCAGCTTCAAATTAATGAGGCAACCCGTCAGTCTGGATTAGGTCTCTGTAGGATTTTTTCTTTTTTTTTAACAAACAGCATTAAACTGCTGTTTAAGGATTAGCTTAGGGAATTGGAGTTATAAAGGCATACTGGCTTTTCAGTTAAATTAGGCCCACAGTTAATTGGATGACAGATTGCAGAGCTATGGTAGTTTTTTTCTTTTTGTCCTAGCTTTATAGTGAATCGTGGCCTCACAGGCCAGCTTGATTTCCACTTTCTCAAGGCTGGTTTTGCTCTCAAGCTCGCCTAAGGTTCCTATTCATCTGTCCTATTCTCTGTCTTTACCTCTCAACACCAGGCTCTCTCTCCTTCCCTACGCCCTCCAGAACCTTGTTGTTGCTTCTCTGATTTCGATTTCCATCTTCTCCCTCATCATAGGAAACCAGTGTTTGCTAGTCTCCTAATAAGCCTTTTCAACTCTTGGGAAGAATGTGTTTGTGGAAGAACAGATTCTAATGGTATGAACCTGGGGTCTACCAGGCTCTGAGCCTTCTGGAAACAAAAAAAAAGCAAATTCAAAAGGAGAATTTAGGGAAATGAAAATTTTAGGGAGAGTAAGTTTAAATCATACCTGTGGACCTCATGAGCTGGGCTGTCCTTAACACCATTCACACTCCTGGGACCTGAGGAGGAACGGGAAAAGTGAGTAGAAGGGAGGACGCCTCCATACTGTCCACTCAGTAAAAAATAAGGCCCCTCTGAGTGTGACAGATGCTATGAGGATGGCTCGAGAGCACGGAGTCCAGCGCCCAGCTTCCCTTTGCCTCTGCCTGTGCTCCCAGGGCTGCCAAGACAAAGTGCCGCAGACCGGGAGGCTTAAACAACAGAAATGTGTCTCCAAGTCTGGAGGCCAAAGAAGTCCAAGGTCAAGATGTTGGCAGGGCCCTGCTACCTGTGCAGGCTCTAGGAAAGGATCCTACCTGGCTTCTTCCGGCTTCTGGTGGTCATGCGGTCCTCAGCACTGTTCCTCTTGCAGTACTCTAATCTGTGCCCCAGTCCTCACCCTGTGACTCTCTGTGAGTCCCCTCTTCTTGTGATAACACCTGTCACTGGATTTAGGGCCCACCCTAATACCAGATGACCTCATCTTAACTAATTATATCTGCTAAGACTGTATTTCTGAATACGATCACATTTCAAGGTTCCAGGTGGATGTGAATTTTCAGGGGACACTAGTCAATCAACTATACCACCTTACCGAAGACATGTAAAAGGGCACACACATGCTCTTTACTGTGTTTGGCCCCATTTGTCCCTTCACTTCCCACCTCCCTGGCTAAGTCGCTGTGAGGTTGCATGTATGTTTATCAGTCGCTCAGTCGTGTCTGACTCTCCACGATCCCATGGAATGGAGCCCACAAGGCTGCTCTGTCCATGGAATTCTCCAGGCAAGAACACTGGAGTGGGTTGCCATTCCCTTGTCCAGGGGATCTTCCCAACTCAGCAATCAAACCCAGGTTTCCTGCCCTGCAGGCAAATTCTCTAACCATCTGAGCCACCAGGGAAGTGAGGTTGGATATATGTTTCCAAATTATTGTGGACTCCTCACAAAAAGGTATCAGGTAAATGAATGTATTAACAGATACAGTCACATGTTGGGGACATATTGTGTATTAAGAAATAAAATCCCTGAGAGTGGAGCAGGGCACTGGCATTTTTAAAAGCTCCCCACACACCCAGGGCTGAGACCCAGTCAGCTTGTGGGCAGGGTCCTTCCGCTCTGACCATCCTGTAATCCTTCTGTGCTGAACGGAAGGGAAAGCTCTCCCCTTAGAGCCCCTAAGACGGTTGGCCAGTTAGGAAAAATGAACTTGATTCTAAGGTGACCCTTGCCACCTTCATTTGTGAACTGGACACGGGACTGGGTCCCTGCAGCAGACGCTACTGCCACCTCGTGGTAGGAAGCTGCCTCTGACCAACCCGGATTAGGAGTGATTGAGGGCCTGGAATTGACATCTACTAAGTGAGTGTGAGGCTCGGGGGAATGTCTCCACGCCGTGTACTTACTTTATGGTAGCCTCTCAGTAGCTGTGAACCCACGCTTGGCAGGGGTACATCCTTCAAACAGCAAAGGCAGTTCCCTCTGACAGACATCTTCCACCTTTGAAGTTGGAGTGGAGGCTGCAATTACAATCAGACAAAAAAATGAAGGTGCTAATTTTCCCTAGGATCCTAGCATGCCCTTCTCATCCATCAAGGTCAGATACACTTGAGCCTGTTTGTAAGCCCTACAGCAGTTTGAGGGTTAAACACAGAAGATCCTTATTTTTCTGCTTAGGCAGCATCTCTAATGAAGTATCAACAAACATAGGGTGGAAAAGCCTTTTTTTTCATTTTCAGTCTTTGACAGGCTGTTCTTTATAGCCACTCTACCCGCAGGGGACTATAGCTTTTGTGGTGGCTCCCAATAGAATATACAGTTAAGTATGTGTGTGTGCTAAGTCACTTTAATCGTGTCCGACTCTTTGTAACCCCCCAGGCTCCTCTGTCCATGGAATTCTCCAGGCAAGAATATTGGAGTGGGTTGCCATTTCCTCCTCCAGGGGATCTTCCCAACGCAGGGATTGAACTCGTGTCTCTTACGAGTCTCCTGCATTGGCAGGCAGGTTCTTTACCACTAGCACCACCATAATAAAATTAAAATATAGGTCCTTATTGAAAAAAAAAAAACAACTGTCTAAATCCCAGTAATAGTACTGTATTTGTTTCCTAGGGCTGCCATAATGAAGTACTATATAGTACTATATAGTAACGAAGTACTATAAACTGGGTGGCATAAACAACAGGACTGTATGTATTGTTTCACAGTTCTAGAGGCTAGAAGTTCAAGGTCAAGGTGCTGGCAGGGTTCATCCCTTCTGAGGGCTGTAAGAGAAGGATCTCTTTCTGGCTTCCCTTCTTGGCTTGTGGATAGCCATTTTCTCCCTGGTCTTCCTTCTGTGTGCCTGTCTCTGTGTTCAAATTTCCCCGTTTTATAAGCATCTCAGTTAAATCTAATCAGGGCCAGTCTAATGACCTTACTTTAACTCCCTCACCCCTATAGCACCGGGGGTTAAAGCTTGAACACATGAATGGGCCAAGGGGAACTGGGAGGCATGATGCAATCCATGCCGGCTACTGTGTTTTTGTGAAGGAAAAAACGGTACCAAGAAAAGTGATGGAAGGGAAAGGCCTGATAAGGGTGCAGCCTCTGGCTATGGCTAGGGGGTCTCTGGCAGCTCACCCTTTTCTTCCACACAGGGAGAAAGGAACCAGTGGCCTCGTCCCAAGGCAGTGCTCCCTTTTGAATGAAGCTAGTACCATATTACCCTCCCCACATTCTCCAGAGGGAACTCAGTTGCAGCCCCAGGGCTATGGGATACATTAGATAATAAGGTAACCATTTCGATTTACAATTACCAACAGTCACTGTAAAGTGCAATGTAGAACTGTCAGTCACATAAATCACTGATGCCTCCAGCTTCTCTTAGGTCTTTGGAAAACAAATCAATCAGGCTGGGAACTGTGTTAAAATATTGCTGCTATACTAAGAGTTTTGAAATGAGAGGCCATAATCCTAAATCCATCCCTGAAGACATCCAGAATCAGTGCCAGGTTTTTCTTGGGTCTGTTCTCATCTTATCAGTAATCTATCTGCTGGTTGGTGTGGAACACTTTGATAGGGCATTGGAAGGCTGGCAAGAAGCCTGGGACTCCATGTGCTGCCAGCACTCAGAATTCAACAAACATTCTACACGATCGGCACAATGTGCTAGTTTTCTTCCAAATTGTACGTACCCTCCAAGGTCATTCCAAGTCCACTTTTTGCCTCAAGGCTTCTCAATTAAGGCCCTTTAGTCCCTGGTTCTTGGGAAAGAGTAATCTCACCCCTGAGTCTAATTTTTTTTTTTTTAAGTATGAAGGTAGGAAACAGGTAGGAAGCTTCCTCCCAGCTATAAAAACTCCACAGCAGTGTGATTGGACTCCATACATAGACTGTGTCCTGATTCCTATAGCACTAGTGTCTGTACTTGCTCACCTCCTTAAAAAAAATGGTGAGCTTTTGGACACCTGCTACGGTTGTTCAAAGAGAAATCTCCTCCAATCTATTCCCAAGCAGTCATGCCTTGTGAAGTGTCCTAATACGAAGCAGATATGAATATGATAAAATGAAAACATAGAGCCTGATGCTTGAAGAAAAATTCCAGAGTACACGGTGGCTCCTGAGAAAGTCCAGGGTCTTTGAGAAGGCAATCTGGTGAACCCAGAGAAGGAGGGGACGCCAGGCCCCAGGGGATGATGGCGGTGGGACCCTACGGAGCCTGCTGCGTGTGTGGCAATGCAGAGTTTGGACTAAAGTGAAGGGCGTGAGGCAGAATGCGTGGGTGTGCTCTCATGGCAACAGAGAGAACGCCGGCCAAAAGAAGAACAATGTGAAATAGGAACAAAAGGCAGCAGGGCTGGGGAAAGGGGCTTGGGACAGGAAAAGGAAAAAAGGGACTTGCCGCCTATGATAGCCTGGAGAGGAGTCAGTTTTTCCTCAGGGGCATTTTGGCAAAGAATTTCAACTTAGAATGGGGCTGCCCTTGGACCCCAGAGAGGAAAAGATCATGCTCCTGTGGGACCCTGGGGCTGAACGGTGAGGCAGTTGCAGTTAAAAAAGAACATCACCCATGAAGGGCAGGAGCCCATGGAACAATGAGACCTCGGGGACTATTTAGTGTGGTCATCTTAGCCAGTCTGACGGTCCTGAAAATGCCTTGTTTCAGCTCTGCCCTTAAATCCCCTCACAGCACATTCCAGATCTTGTGAAATTCTATTGGCTAAATATGCCTTTTAAACAGTAGGCTGAGGGTGTGTATGTGTTTCTTTCAGGAAAAAAAGGGAGGGATGGAAATGAGCCTAGAAGTGAGACCTCAGAAGAGGAACGTCTCACCCCTGACACCCTCGGCACAGCACTCTAAAAAGCCACCCTCCAAAACTTAGCCCATCATGCAGTGATCTACTTCAGGGGGTACCCCTGGGGTAATCTGGCTGCCCCACAGTGGGGTCCACCCTCAGAACGGGCTTTGCTTTTAGCAAACAGACTGTGTTTTGCTGTGTTCTTCTGTGTGCAGTGCACAGTTTCAGTCATAGGAGTACCTGAGTTTAAGTGGAAACAAACGTGAACTCTCACACACCCACAAACCAACATATTTGGATAAACAGTGCTAAGGATTTAGGCCACAGAAATACCTAAATACTCCTTTCATACCAAGCATTATCACACCTTTTCCTTCAGGTCTCAAAATTTAAAACATATCGTGGTTTCTCAGGGCATCACATGCTTAGGGAATTAACCCTTGCATCTGTGTGGACAGATGATTACATACATGTGCATACAAGAGCTGTTCAGTTGATGACAAGAGCTCAAATGTCATTCTGTCCGTCCATGCTTCCCTGAGATATGGCTGGGTTCTCCCACCAAAGCACCAGTTCCTGTTTCTACTTCCAAGGCCATCGGGTGAGGAGAGGGTTGAGTTTCAGTACTTCAAAAGAAGTTGCTAGTGTTTGGAGAGGTAATACCTGAAGAGCCCATCTCTGTGTTGGAGAGCTGGAGGGGATCCTACACATACCATATTTTGAAGAATAAACTCAAGCTTTGAGTTTCTTCCCAGTGTAGATAGACAGCTGATACTTTGGCTCTTCACTAATGGCTAATAAAGGATTTGTGGATTATAATTTGGAGAAAGGAAAGGAAAATTGTTGCACACTTTATACTAAATATGAGATAATAAAATCACCTTCTTCTCACTATGGCCAAGTTTATAATCATGGAGATAGTGCTAAAGACCTATCAGGCCACCTTGTTTTATTCGGGTTATAAATGGATACTTTCAGGTAACCAAACATGTCACTCCAGGATTACATTACATGGGTATAGAATTGGCAGTTCTCACCAACTTTGACATCCTTGTACCCTGGGGGTGAGAGTGGGTGTTTAATGAAATTTACGGAAACTGCAACAAGACCCTCCTGTTTAATTAAAAAAAAAAAAAATCCAATGGAATGAGAGACAAGATGGCAGAGTAGAAGGACTTGCTCACCTTCTCTCATGAAAACACCAAAATCACAACTAACTGCTCTGGACAAGAACCACTGACAAAAAAGACTTGAATCTACCAAGAAAGATATTCTACACCAAGAGATAAAAAAGAAGCCACTATGAGATAGTAGGAGGGGCACATTAGCAAGAAAATCAAATCGCAGTGGGTGACCCACAGACTGGAAAATAAATATATCGTAGAGGTTCCCCCACAGGAGTGAGAGTTCTAAGCCCCGCGTCAGGCTCCCTGCCTGGGGTTCTGGCAGCAGGAGGAGGAACCCCCAGGGCATTTGTCTCTGAAGGCCGGTGGGGCCTGAGTGCAGGATCTCCAGAGGTCTGGGGGAAACAGATTACGCTCTTGAAGGGTGCACACAGGTCTCACATGAACTGGGACCCCAGGCAAAGCAGTGAGTCCATAAGAGCCTAGGCCAGACCTACTTATGGGTCTTGGAGGGTCTCCTCAGGGCCTGGGGGTCAGCTGTGGCTCACTGTGGCGGCAAAGACACTGGTGGAGGCCCCAGGGAATACCCATTAGTGTGAGCTCTTGAGCAGCAAAAGCAGTTCTAAGAGGAAGTTTATAGCCACACAATCTTACCTCAGGAAACCAGGAAAAGCACCTCAAACAACCTAACCTTACATATAAAGCAACTAGATAAAGAATAAACAAAATCCAAATTAATTAGAAGGAAAAAACTATAAAGATTACAGCAGAAATAAATGAAATAAAGACAAAGAAAATAGAAAACATCAATAAACTAAAAGCTGGTTCTTTGGAAAGATTAAAAAATTGATGAACCTTTAGTTAGATCATCAGAAAAAAAGAGAGAGCTCAAGTCAATAAAATTAGAAATTAAAAAAAAAGTTAAATCTGACACCACGTAAATACAGATGATTGTAAGAGACCACTACAAGCGACTATATGCCAATAAAATAGACAACTTAGACAAAATGGAAAAATTCTTATTAGAAAGGTACAATCTTCCAAGACTGAACTGGGAAGAAAGAGGAAATATGAACAGACGAGTCACAAGTACTGAAGTGGGCAACTGTGCTTTAAAAACTTTAAACAGACAGAAGTCCAGGACCAGATGGCTTCACAGGTGAATTCTATCAGACATTTAGAGAAGATGTAACACCTATCCTTCTGAAACTATTCCAAAAACTGAAGAGGAAGAAACACTCCCAAACTCATTCTAGGAGGCCACCATCACCCTGATACCAAAACCAGGCAAAGACACCACAAAAAAGAAAATCACAGACCAATATCACTGATGAATGTAGATGCAGAAATTCTCAACAAAATACTAGCAAACAGAATACAACAATACATTAAAAGGGTCATACACCATGATCAAGTGGGATTTATCCCAGGAATGCAGAGATTCTTCAATATCCACAAATCAATCAGTGTGATATACCACATTAACAAATTGAAGAATAAAAACCATATGATCATCTCAATAGATGCAAAAAAGCTTTTGACAAAATTCCATGCTCATTTATGATAAACACTCTCCAGAAAGTGGGCATAAAGGGAACCTACATCAATATGATAAAGGTCATATATGACAGAGCCACAGCTAAATCATACTCAACAGTGAAAAGCTGAAAGCAATTTCCTCTAAGATCAGGAATAAGACAAGAACGTCCACTCTTACCTCTTTTATTAAACACAGTTTTAAAAGTCCTAGCCATGGCAATCAGAGAAGAAAAAAGGAATTCAAATTGGCAAATAAGAAGTTAGCAGATAAAATGATACTATACACAGAAAATCCAAAAGATGGTACCAGATAATTATTAGAGTTCATCAGTAATTTAAGTAAGGTAACAAGATGCAAAATTAATATACAGAAACATGTTGCATTTTCAAATAAAAAAAATGACATATCACCTCACATCAGTCATAATAGCCATCATCATCAACAATAAATGCTGGAGAGGGTGTGGAGAAAACGGAACTATTGGTAGGAATGCAAACTGGTACTATCACTTTGGAGAGTATGGAGGTTCCTTAAAAAACTAAAAATAGAGCTACCATATAACCCAGCAATCCCACTCCTGGGCATATATCCAGAGAAAACCATAATCTAAAAGGATGCAGGCACTGTGATGTTCATTGCAGCACTATTTGCAATAGCCAGGACATGGAAGCAACCTAAAAGTCCATTGACAGGAATGAATAAAGATGTGATACATATATACAATGGAATATTACTTACCATTAAAAAGAATGAAATACATTTACAGAGATGTGGATGGACCTGGAGCTGTCGTACAGAGTAAAGTAAGTCAGAAAATGAAGCACAAATACTGTCTAATATCACATATATGGAATCTAGAAAAATAGTAGAGATGAACTTATTTGCAAAGCAGAAGTAGAGTCACAGATGAAGAGAACAAACTTATGGTTACCAAGAGGGGCGGGTGGGTGGGAGGGATTCAGAGATTGGAATGCACACATACACACTCTGATTTATAAAATACATAACTAATGACACTCTACCCGATAGCATAGGAACTCCACTCAGTGCTCTGTGGTGACCTATGTGGGAACAAAATCTAAAAAAGAGGGGGCATATGTATACATAGGACTAATTCATTTTGCTATACAGCAAGAAACAACAAAACATCATAAAGTAATTGAGTGTTAGTCACTCAGTCGTGTCCAACTCTTTGCAACCCCAAGGACTATAGCCCATCAGGCTCCTCTGTCCATGGAATTCTCCAGGCAAGAATACTGGAGTGGGTTGCTATTTCCTTCTCCAGGGGATCTTTCTGACCCAGGGATCAAACCCGGGGTCTCCTGTATGGTAGGTAGATTCTTCTCCATCTGAGCCACCAGGGAAAGCAATTATACTCCAATAAAAATTAATTTTAAATATATATTCCATTTCTATACACTCACAGTGAAAGGTCAGAAAGAGAAATTAAGGAAATAATCCCATTTACATTGCATCAAAAAGAATAAAATACCTAGGAATAAACCTACCTAAGGAGGCAAAAGACCTATACTCTGAAAACTAAGATGCTGATGAAAGAAACTGTTGCTGTTGTTCCGTCGCTCAGTTGTGTCCGACTCTTTGCGACCCCATGGACTGCAGCACACCAGACTTCCCGGTCCTTCACCATCTCCCTGAGCTTGCTCAAACTCATGTCCATTGAGTTGGTGATGCCATCCAACCATCTCATAAGATGACACAAACAGATGGGAAGATATACCATGTTCTTGAATTGGAAGAATCAATATTGTCAAAAAATGACTATAATACTCCAGGCAACCTACAGGTTCAGTGGAATCCCAATCAAATTACCAATGACATTTTTCACAGAACTGGAACAAAAAATTTTTAAAGTTTTATGGAAACACAAAAGACCCTGAATAGCCACAGCAATTAGAAAGCCCAGAAATAAACCCTCGCACCCATGTCAATTAATCTATGACAAAGGAGGGAAAACTATACAATGGAGAAGAGACAGTCTCTTCAATAAGTGGTGCTGGGAGAACTGCAGCACATGGGTGTAACCTTAAAAATGAAAGAATGATCTCGGTTCATTTCCAAGGAAAACCATTCAACATCACAGTAATCCAAGGCTATGCACCAATCACTGATGCTGAAGCAGCTGATCAGTTTTATGAAGACCTACAAGACCTAGAATTAACACCAAAAAAAGATGTCCTACTCATCACAGGGAATTGGAATGCAAAAGTAGGAAGTCAAGAGATACCTGAAGTAACAGGCAAGTTCGGCCTTGGAGTATAAAATGCATCAGAGCAAAGGCTAACAGAATTCTGTCAAGAGAATGTACTGGTCATAGCAAATTCCCATTTTCAACAACATAAGAGCCAACTTTACACCTGGACATCACCCAGTGGCCAATACCAAAATCAAATTGAATATAT